TGGTTTCCAGGCTGGACTTGCCTTCTGTAAACATTCGGTTTCTTTTCTCCCTTTGCCAGGAGAATTGACAGAGGTGTAACTACTAGTTAACAAAACATGCCCTGTTTGTGCTGGACAGGTGATAACAAGAAAAAAAAAGCAATAAAAATACTAAAACAGGTTAAGTGTTACTTAAACTTAATTGGGGAAATTATTTAGAAATTACCTAATTCCCGCTTCTCCCCACATGAAATTCTTGCTTTGCTTCCGTAGGTGTATAAATGAGTTGTGCTGTTTATCTAGACTAGAGCAGGGGTGTCCAGGCTTGGTGACTTTAAGATCTGTGGACTTCAATTCTCAGAATTCCCAGCCAGCATAGCACAGCTGGCTGGGGAATTCTGGAAGTTGAGGCCCACAGGTCTTAAAGTTGCCACGGTTGGACATCCCTAACGTAGAGCTATTTTACCCCCATTGTACTGTTGGGTGCCTAAGATCCCCTCTCCATCTTGGCTTAAACAAGGCGAGGGCCAGTTTGGTCTGGACCATTGAGCGGTGAGTCTCCTCACAAATGCTGATGGTCAAGCTTTGGGCATCCTTTTGGGGCGCAGAAAGAGTCCTCTCCTTCCATCCACATCCAGTGCTAACTCCTTCATTCAGTGCCCAGCAGGCAGTCCTGCTCTGACTTCATGCCCAGCTGCTCACCTGCACTAATTTGCCATCTTTATGGCAAAGTCAGGAAAATTTGCAAAGGTAATTGCTGGGTAACCTGTGGCAAAACATTTTGCCTAGGTCAATAAGGCTGCTGGGCTTTTTAAAAGTGTCCTAGAGCAGCCTCGGTAGACTCTGAGGACTGAGCTTCCGCACAGACAAAATCCCTTTTCTTGGCTGAACAAAACTTAAGTTGGAGCTCCAAACCAAAGGAGGTTTGCTTTTTATTTGTAATGGCTGCTTTGGAGTGAAAAATTCCAAACCGCCTGAAAGATGGACAAAGAAAAAGGGATCCCTTGCTCTTCTTTGCTGGGTGGCTGAAATGTAAGAACCTTTCAGAAGGTGAGCCTCCCCGAATGTGGTCGGTCACGTGGGAGACCCAATTTACGACCATTACATTGCTACCGTTATGTAGGCTCCTTTATGGTCGTAACTTGAGAACTAACTATGAAGTTTGAACAAGTGGAGTTAGGAAGGAGGCAGGTGCAAGCAGGCATCTGATCTCCCAGGGCTGCCCCAGTGGATTTCCTGTAAGTCTGCAAGCTTTCTTTATTTCTGGGCTAGCACCAAGTGCTTTACAGAATCACAGAGTTGGAAGGGACCTTGGAGGTCATCTAGTCCAACCCCCTGCTCAAGCAGGAGACCCTGCACCATTTCAGACAAAGGGCTGTCCAGTCTCTTCTTAAAAGCCTCCATTGATGGAGCACCCACAGCTTCTGTTCCACTGGTTAAATGTCCTCACTGTCAGGAAGTTCCTCCTTAGTTCTAGGTTGCTTCTCTCCTTGATGAGTTTCCATCCGTTGCTTCTCGTCCTGCCTTCAGGCGCTTTGGAGAAGAGCTTGACTCCCTCTTCTTTGGGGCAGCCCCTGAGATATTGGAACATCCTTCTTTTCACTAAACTAGACAAATCCAATTCCTGCAATCGTTCTTCGTATGTTTTAGCCTCCAGCCCCCTCGGGAGGCTTCATCAGGTCAAGGTGGGGTTTCCGCCTTTTAATCCTCTCTCACGTAGAATCGACCTGCTGCTTTGCAGAAGCAAAGATGGCTTCTGAGTGGCTTTTCCACAAAGTCCAGCCAAAGCTTTGATGAAAGGCTGTCCAGGGAGGGGCCCTTGGCCCCTGAGGCTAAGAGCTGGGAGGCAGGAAGCGATGGCCCCCCATTGCTCATCAGACACCCCCCCCCCCCGCCCCAGGCCAAATGATGTCGCCTGCAAGTGGACCTGTTCTTTGTCCATCTGAAGGCCTGTTGGAGTGGAAGCTCAGAACTCGGTCAAGCTCTCCAGTGGTCCTGGCAGGATCCCTCGCCCTTTGTGCACAATGAATGAAGACCAGCCTGCCTTTTCCCCTTCTGTCCGGCTCCTGCTGGGGACGCGCTTCTCGAGGGAGGCCTGTCCTGCCCAGGTGCCGGCAGAGCAGGAAGGAGGATGGCAGCCCAACGGATACGGCTCTCCCTTGTCTTGGAGATGAGCTGCTGCTACAGGGAGCTTCCTCCCACGCAGTTCGGGTGTTTGCTTTTGCCTTCAGCACAACGTCTGCTTCCTAGACCAGTGCTCTCCAAATTTGGCAGCTTTAAGACTTGTGGACTTAAATTCATGCTGGCTGGGGAATTCTGGGAGTTGAAGTCCACAAGTCTTAAAGTTGCCAAATTTGGAGAGCCCTGTCCTAGACACAAATAGGCCTGCTCAGTCTTCCTTGGAATACAGATGCAATGAATGTCGTCTCATTCTGTGTTATGTTCTAATTTTCTCTCTGTTTTCTGTGATTTCCTCCCCCCCCCCCCTGTAAACCAGCTTATGCCTGCCGCCCCTGGTGCCCGGCCTGCCATGTGACCCTTCCAGGACTGTGAAGAACGACGTCAGGTCAGTGCCCTCCTCCTCTACCCCCAAGACCTACTTAGATACCAAAGGAAGTGGTTCTGTTCTACTTGCCTCTAGCTCTCCCTCTCAGCGTTTATTTTTTACTTCGTCTTACCTAAGTGTCTCTGGGCCGTTCACATAATACAGCTGTGTTGAGCTGTCAGGAAGACACGGAGGCTGTAGTGCTTTGATGGGGGGGGGCTGTCCACTCACGGTTGCTTTGCAGAGCATCCTTCCCAAACGGGAGGTCCTGAGTGGAGAACTGCCCAGCTTTAAATATTCCACTGGAAAATGGCTTCTCTTCTGGTTAACAAAGCGAGTCTGCAGAGGTTCCCACAGGATCTGCCTCTCTTCATTCAGGTCAGCCGGGGTGGGCAAGGTTCGTTTTGCGGCCGACTTTGTCCTTTAGGTCAGGGCTTTTCAACCTTTTCACCCATTGTACCACTTTTAGGATATGGCAATATCCAAGTACCACCAGTCGCCTAGCAAGGTGTCAAAAACTTGATGAGCAAAAAAAAGAGGAAAAAAGTGATAAAGTGCAGGTAGTCCTCGACTTACAACAGTTTGCTTAGTGATTGTCCGAAGTTACAATGCATTGAAAAAAGGGCCCCCCAAGCCAGAGCCGAGCAAGACACCTGCCTGCCCACCCGGCGGCACTCTTCCTCCTGTCCGAGGTTTCCATTGTTGTGAGCATTTCTGTTGAGGATTGGCAGTGGGGGTGGGGTGGGGGGTGTTTGGTTTTTATTCCCCCCATCTGCTGGGTGGTTGCAGCAGGTTTTGGTCACTTCACATGACCCTGGGACACTGTGACCGTCATAAATATGAATCGGTTGCCAAGCATCTGAATGGAAATCACAAGACCCTGGAGATGCTGCAACATTCCAGCTGATCTGCGCTTTTTCTGGGCTCAGCAGAAGCCCCAGGATCAGTGCTGCTTTCCAGCTGATTGGTGCTTCTTCAAAGCTCAGCTGTAGCCTGGCGCTGATCCTGGCGCTTCCACTGAGCCCTGACAGCCCTGAAGAAGCACCGATCAGCTGGAAAGCGGCACTGATCCTGGCGCTTCCGCTGAGCCCTGACAGCCCTGCAGCTCCAGCCGTCTCTCGCTCAGGCTTGTGCGGTGCTGCCACCGGTTCAGCTCATTCCCCTCCCCCGCCACCACTTTTCTAGGATGGTCGCGTACCACCTGCCAGGTGCCCATGTACCACAGGTGGTACCCGTACCACTGGTTGAAAAGCCCTGCTTTAGGTCAGGGGTCCCCAACCCCCGGTCCATGGACCAGTACCGGGCCATGGCATGCCAGCAACCGGCCACACAAACAAGCAAAGCCCCATCTGCGAGATGCAGGCAGCACACAAAACCAGGCCCCCTTCGGGTCTGCGAAAAAAACCTCTCTCCACGGAACCAGTCCCTGGTGCCCAAAAGGTTGGGGGCCTCTGCTTTAGGTTGCTCAGGGCCCCACCAGCTCTGACCAGGCTGGGCGTTGTCAGTCTGGGGTCCATTCGCACCCACAAGAGACCTCGGCCCAGCCGGCCTTGAATTCCGCTGACTCTCATCTTCCGCCAATTTGCTTTGACTGTTAGCAGTTCAGATTCTTGCAGAGAATTTAAGCTTGGAATAAATCTTTACATTTATTTGAGCCGCCTGGATTTCCTGATCTCCTGGCTTGACCCTCTTCATTTCCTGCCATCTGACCTTCCTTGCCGTGGTTGACTTTACTGTCACTCTGTCCCTGGGCTCACCCACCTTTCCTCTCCTTTGCCACTTTGCCAGGTTGGAACCCATCTTGTCTGTGCTGTTGCCGACGTCTTGCCAAGCTCCAGAACCGTCTCACCCCCCTTTAAGGTTCCCAGCTCTTGGATCCAGAGATGGACACAAAGCTTCTGTCCTGGCATTGCCTAAGACTGGAGCTCAGCCTGAAAAAGTAAGCGGTGCAGTGGAAGCGAGGCCTCGTGCGCACCCACGCTGGCTGTCGCGTGCTTCTCATTGGTGCAGGGGGACCACGTTTGTCTTGGTAGAGTAAGTTACTGGGGGTGGAAGTAGAATAAGTGTGTGATAAGGAAATCCTGCTGGAGCTGAAGGGAATGTAGTTGGGGGTTACTCTCAGTGAGCATCAGTATCTCCTCCTCTCTCAGCTGCCTCTGAGGACCACCGGGAGAGGAGCTGGTGTGGGGTTCAGTGTAAGTGTTGGGGAAGCCACTGTGAAGGGAACTGTCTGTCAGCATCTGGGCCTGGCGTTCTATCAGCTCAGTCATTCACGGACTTGAGTGAGGAGAAGCCGAGATCATCCTTCCCATGGACCAGAGGGACAAACGGGGAGAGGCTGGTGTAACCTCCGGACTAATGCTGGAAATGTACGTCTCTCTTGTTCCCCAAGGACGAGTCCGAGGACAGGCCAAAGAAAGTCTCTCAGATCCGCATTCGGAAGACGATCCCTAAGCCAGACCCCAACCTCACCCCCATGGGGCTTCCCAGGCCAAAGAGGTAGGACCGTTGCCTTCATCTGCCAACTCACTTGGCACCTGTGGGGGTGGGGGGGATGGGAGCAAAGAGAGGTGGTGGGTGGTGCTACTTCTTTGAAAGCAGCCCACAGGTTGAAAAAAAAACAAAACCAGATCATTCTCTGGGTTGGGGGATCAACATACAATCAGCCCTTCAAGGTAGACCAGATGTGAATACCAAAGTTATAAATACTGAAACGTATTATAGGCTTGCAGGAACACATCTGAAAGCCCTCACCCCGTCCCTTGCCTTTATCCTAATGAGAATGAGGAAGGTCCAGTCTGGCTTTGGGCCGAGAGCTGCAGCTCTTCCTCAGGGTCATTCCCACAGCCAGCTACAATACTGGATAAGAAGCAGGAGAGTGGAGGGAGAGGGTCTGCGGTAGACGTTCGTCTTCTCTTCTTGAGCTTCAGTGTAGATACCTTCCCCCCACCCACATGGGACGTATCCCAAGAGAAGGCCGAGCGGTTTGCAGATGGAGCCAGTCAGGAGGAGCTCTGCGGCAGAGAGAACGCCAGCCTGCAGCGCTTCAGGGAAGGGCTCACTCGGACTTGGAATCCGAGGAGGCAGAACTCTTTTGAGACGAGGCATTGATCTGCTTAGCCCCGTTTGCAGTTATTATTTATATGGCTGCCAATCTGAAGCAACTCTGGATGGCTCTCAGTAACACTGAAACCAATAAGTAAAACAAAACTAAAACAGTGAAGCAATAAAATAATAAAAGTAACATGCCACTGTTTCTCACAACTCCAAAAGCAATGTACATAAAAATACTATAAAAGAATTAAGAAATAGCTTTATTTAATATTGCTCATAAGATGTATTGGTACCCCTAGGACGGGTAGGCAACCTTGGCTCTTTTATGCTGGCTCAGGAATTCTGGGGGTTGAAGTCCACGAGTCATAAAAGAGCCAATGTTGCCTACCCCTGTCCTAGGAAGATCTTTCCCCAGAGACCGCTGAATGTAAATGGCTGGCTCACTTGGCCAAAGGGCAGAGGGGGCCTTGGGGCAGGCAGCTGAGGCCAGGCGCTGACTCCCTGGTGATGAGATAGGGCAGGCGGGTTCTCTTTGGGAAAGAGCCCCAGAAGTAACAAGGGGCCAAGCTGTATGAGTAACCGGCTACATCTCGAATTGGATCTGGACCCCTGCAACATCCAGGTGTCATTTAGCTGAACCAAGGTGCCCCCGTCAGCAAACGGGCACCATCTTCCATACCAGCTGTAGCTGGAGGACAATCAAACAGCAAGTGGTAGAGGTGTATCCAGGAGATGAGATGGGCATGAGGGACCATCCTCGGTGCCTCCTGGTGATTTCCCCAGAGCTGGCTGAAGGTGGTCTTGCCACGGCTGTCCCCTCCCATTAACAGGAGTTGTTGGTCCAAGGGATCCTGCGATTGTAGGCCGACGCTTGGGAGTGATAGGTGAGGCAGCCATCCTATTGGAAGGGTTTGGTGCTTTTTAAGTGTATTTGCTTATTTAAATACTTTAAAAACAGCTCTGGACCCCCATAAGTAGCTCTGCAGCTGAGATGATGACACTGCTAACCTCTGCAGCAATTTGAAGCCTTCGCTGGTGGGACGAAGTGTCTTGCTTCACCCAATCACGATAAAGTAACTTTGGTACACAGTTAATAATCTTCCCTTCTCTGACTAAAGAATGGTAACTGCTGTTGGAATGTGATGTTCTTAATTAAGAAGATGTGTATTGATAGTGAGTTGCTGCCCCCTTTTGCCCTCCAGGTTAAAGAAGACGGAATTCAGCTTGGAGGAAATATATACCAATCAGAATTACAAATCGCCCCCGGCAACCAGGTTGGTTACAGACAACATAGCATCGGAATGGAGGATTTTGTGATTTGCAGGGAAAAAAAGTTGTGGGAAGCCCCCTTAAATGGATCTGCTTTCTACATCCGCTCCACGGTTGCAAAGGGTTTACATCCGTTCGTTTTGTGGCTTGAAAAAAAACGTAACCTGGCTTTGAGTCCAGTTGCTGATTGTGTGGAAGGGCTTTGGGTCCCTTCTCAGATTATAAGGATGATGCCCTATGTTCACTCCTTTTGGTGTTGTTGTTTTTTTCAGGTGCCTGGAAACCATTTTTGAAGAGCCAAAAGAGAAAAATGGGTCTTTGATCTCTATCAGCCAGCAGAAGAGAAAACGGATTTTGGAGTTCCAGGACTTCACCGTTCCCCGGAAGAGGAGGGCTCGCAGCAGAGTCCGGGTGACGGGTGGCTACACTCGGGCGCAGAAGGCGGCCATGGAAGGGAGAGAACTTGACATCCTTCTCATTCAGAAACTGACCGACCTTGAGACGTTCTTTGCCAAGGAGGAGACAAAGGAACAAGCCTCATTGTGTAGTTGAGTTTGGGTTGATCTGCCGGAAGAGCTTGTGGCGTTTCTGTGATCTGGTGCGCCTGGAAAGGGGATCTTGTTTTCCCACGGTTGGACCAACCTACCTGACTGAACCATATAGTGATATTTTCCTACATGTTGGAGGAGGATAATTAATTTCTGTTAACCTTATGAAACAGCCCTGTCTTTAGCCTCCATTATCACTAAGAATTAACATCTGTGGGTTTTTTTGAAAAAAGATCTGGCTAAAAGTGTAGAGCAGAACAAAGGCTACAGCACCTTCAGAGACGTTAGGATTGTAAAGACTTCCCAAAGTTAGCCATGGATTTGCCTCTGCTGCTCTTCTGGTTCTTGAGCCCTAGTAATGTGGCAGCTGGGACGAAGGATTTTTTTTGGGGGAGGGTGTTTTTTGTTTGTTTCTAGCAAGTCTCCTTAGTTTGCATCGTTGGGCAGCAGGTGTCCATCAGCAAGCATGCTTTGCTCAAAGTAGAGAAACTGTGTGGCATCCAAATTGTGTTCTGTGGCAGACATAGCTAGTTGTGGCACTTTGTTTCACTGCGTGAGGACCCAGCGCAGAGGTTCACCTCCAGATCCTGCACTAGGAGATGCAGGATCCCCAGGAAGTGGCTTTACTCTGTTCCGCCTTCATCGCCATCTGTTCTGCAGGCTTCCTCTCGGGGTGACTTCTTGGAATTGGGGCCAGCGAATGTGTTGTAGGAGATTTTAATTGTGACGGGATGCCAGAATGCCAATGAGACCTCAACAGTCCTTCATTTTCTGTGTGTTTTCCTTCTACTACCTGGACTATTGCTCAGCACCTCTCGTTAATTCCCGTTTCCTGATTGTGACTTGCTTGGGGCCTGCATGGAGTGGTCTGTACAAATGCAACAAGAAGCTGGTTGGGAGCGCGAGTAGCAGTGTGTTACTGGATCCCGGTAGAAGTAGCAGCTGTGCAAAGCCACACAGAGGAAATTGTAGACTTGTACTTTTCCTTAGGGGTGCTTGGGAAACTTAAATATTTATCTTAAATGAAAACTTTACATGATGATCAACAGCTGTTCGCTGTCTATAGTGCCTGTAATTTGGGCCAGATTTAATGGCTGAATCATTCAAAGGGTTTGCCTTTTGCTTCCTCGCATCTAAAATTTGCACTTTTGGTACCTTAAGGCTCATGTGGACACTTCCTATTACCTCTGGGGTGGACTCTGGGGGCAAATGATGGTATGCCAGACAGGGATGAAAATGGTGGCCTGTTCCTTGACCTCGCATTCCATACCCGAATAGGCAAGAGGTTGGAATCGGCCTTGTAGATAGATGACAGAGGGCCTTAAAACCGGAGTAGTAGAGGGGCCCAGCCACACGTGTGCCTGGCAGTAGAAATTTAGCGTTTCTGCTCCACATTGTTTTCCCACTGGGAAAAAGAGAATGGGAATACTTTTTAATAGTCGAGATCCAGAGCTGGTTTCCTGTGGGACTGTGACATTATATGTTTGCTGCTGCATGCAAATTGTTGAGACCGGAGGTTCTCCCTTCGTACTTTGGATCGTTGTAGAAGGTCCCTGATTGCCTGTAATCTCCACGTTTTGGGTGGGCTGAGTCGAATCATTTACTAGAAGTATCCTTTTTTCCCATCGTGGGATTTGACGACATGACGCGCCAGTACAGATGCCGATGTGGCAATTCTGGTTCGGAGGTGGGACCGCTGCTCTGACTCTGCAGGTGGGCGGGTGACTACGTGGCCTTCCTCTTCTGGCAGCCTTAAAATGGCAGTTGGCGTGCTCCGTCTGTTTCCTCGGTGCTTTATGTCTGAAGTTACACGGGTGTGAATGCAAGGATTCTCAGCGTGGTTTTGCTGCAGCTGTCCAGAAGAACAGGGGTCTCCAACCGTGGCGACTTTAAACTTGTGGACTTCAACTCCCAGCATAGCTGGCTGAGGAATTCTGGGAGTTGAAGTCTTCAAAGTCACCACGCTTGGAGACCCCAGCAGAAGAAAATACAGCCACTGGAGTGACAAGGTGGGCTCTGTGGTTCCCCCAAGGCTGCCTCAAAGGAAGCTGCACCTCGGAGGGGCCGCGGTGGGGCTGCTGCTGAAGGGCCCTCGGAGCAGGCCTGCCAGAGGCCTTCAAGCAGCCCCCTCCCCAGGCAGGGACCAAATGCTTACCTGACTTTCAGAACAATCATGAAAAAGATTCTACTAAGAGCACTTGAAAGAAATCTCTTCTCAGGAAAATGCGGAGGCAACCAAGGATGTGATTTAAGGGGTTTTTTTGGGGTGGGGAGTAGACTGATATTTGCTAAAATCTAATTTGGGGAGGGCTGTGCCTATCGGAGAAATCAGGGTGCGGGGGTCCAGTCTTGGTGTAGGTGTCATCCTGGGGCCAAGATCAGCTCTGAGCTCCAACAGGTGGGTTTTGAGCCCGATCACACTCCCCCCCTCCCCCCCCCACAGACCTGAGCCTCTTGGGGGCCGCCATTGGGAGCAGCGTGAGAGGAAGACCGCTTGGTTAGCCTTCTCGTAATCCAAACCAAATGGGAATTTGCACACTTCTGTACTGGTGGCTGTTCTGTGCCATTGTCACATGGTTTTTTTGTTTATTCCTGTAATCTTTTTGAGTTTCAAATTCACTTTTTCTAGTGTTTAAATTATGGAAATAAAAAATTTAAATAAAGAAGTGCTGATGGGTTTTTTTGTACAAGTTACCTTTATTAAAAATTTCAAAAATACACAAAGCGAAAAGGACAAATGTAAAAATAAAAAGATAAACTATCTCTTTGTCCCAATTGTTTTAATATAAGCAAAACTCTTTAAGTACGCTAAACTGCGAGTGCAATCCTGTACATTGTTATGAAGTCTGAAGCCCCAAATTAACTTTAGTTGACGTGCAAACGATGTTTCTGTTGATACTGCGTAAGTGGAAATGTCCCTTGTAGAGCAGGGGTCCCCAACCCCCGGTCTGTGGACCAGTACCGGGCCGCACAAACAAGCAAAGCCCCATCCGCGAGATGCAGGCAGCACACAAAACCACACACTCTCTGGTCTGGAAAAACCTCTCTCCCCGGAACCAGTCCCTGGTGCCCAAAAGGTTGGGAGCCTCTGCAGTAGAGGATATTCATGGCTCTGCTGCCGACATTCCTGACTTTCTGGGAATAGATCCTGCTTAGTGAGTGAACTTTCCTCATCTCTGTTATTTGTCAATTGTAGTTTCTGTCCCCTTCTTCGTTCCCCTTCGGTTGGAAAGATGTTTCTTTGGGGATTTGTGACTCACAGCCTTAATTCCGCCTCTGAATGTTACAGGAATAATGGTGGCCCTGTCGCTTAGCAGCAAGACCACCCTCGTGACCACTGCTACCACCTTGATAGTTCTCTCCCCTTGTTGTAAAGTACAGGTACCATTTCTGCAAACTTTATTACGGAACCCTTTAGCTCTTTTAAGCTACCACAGAAATCTCATCCCTCTGATGATCCAGGGACCTCTCAGCCACATCCTTGGCTGTGCAGTGATCTGGAGATAGCCTTGCTTATTTAGCTGAACTCTCACACCAGGTGCAGAGGCCAGAAAGGGCTGGGAGCAGATCTGGGTCTTCCTAGAGTTCTTTTTTCAGGTGAAGGGGCACAGCGCTATAAAATACCCCGTGCAATTACTGGCAATGTTACATGATCTTAACTGATCTCAGGAAGGGAAACCTCCAAGGAATCCCACTGTCGTCCACTGGCCTAGGAAAAGGGGTGCCCTCATGGTTGCTGAGCAGATGACGCGGCCATAAAACTGCTAGTAACCTGGGACGCTCATCACTGAGGCAGACGCTTTTGTGTTTAGAGCAGCTGGGCAACAAACAGCTTTAGAGTCCTTGAAGTAAACTTTGGCTGTTGCTTCGGTCAAGAGAAGAATTAAGGGGTGGGGGTCCCGGCTCTTACATCCTGCTAAAGCCAGAGAAACAACATTCCTTTGGTTCCAAGATGGCTGCTTCTTGTCAGGGACTGGGGAAATTGGAGCTGTGACATTGTCTCAACCAACTTCCTTTCAGTTCAGACAGAGCTTTGACTCAGTGAAAAGGGACCGATCCATTCTGAATGCAGAAGTGATGGGAAGCAACCAGAGGGAGATGCAGGTACAAGAGGAGAGTTCCCACACCAGCTTCTCTCTGTCCTGATGGAAGGCAGAGAACAGACAGGGCAGAGCTGAAAAGGTGGCTGGGACTTGCCTGCGTATCCTGGAGATGGGAGGGAGGGAGCAGTGAGAGTGAATCCATTGCACGGATGCCTTCCATTGGCTAACGTACCAGTAGGATACATTCAAAAATGGATTTTCCAAAAGCTGCTGAAGGATATTTGGATGGTGGATGAGAAAATGGCAAAATTGCCATAGACCAGAATCATCATGGGGGGGGGGGGGACTTTGGTGACAGTAAAAGCTTGAATAACTGTCTCCCTCTTTCTTTAGCTGACAAGAGTTGGAGGGAGCATCTCTGGATAACCTCAAGGTTGTGTGGAAGAGGTACAAGTATCCAGCTTGCAAAAGTCTAGGATACCTGAAAACCAAGAATGGCAGCATTAATGTCTCAAAGGGAAATGTGCCCACCAGGGCATCCGAGAGTGCCCCTAAACTTACACAAGGGCAGAATTCAGGTCCCCCACAACAATGATTAAGCAGACAAATACATCTGTGCATCATTTAAATTTATCTCAAAATCTCAGCTACTTGAAAAAGCATTTTATCATAGTGCAGAATTCAATTCTCCGTGTTTCACCTTGCATCTAATTTCAATGCAATCTCAACACTTTAATTCAGGACTTCAGATGTCTTGGAGGATGAGCCCCACCTTCTCCGGCATGGGATGGGAGACGGCAGGGCTCTCTGGTCCTGCTGAGGCTGTGGGGCACGGGGGCTCTGGCCGAGTTATGTGTGGTAGGAGCTGCAGCCTCCAAAAGTGGGTCAGGAAAAAGGTTCTTTTTCCTACTGCCTCCCACAATAGCGTCCTTTAAAAAAATTATTCAATCTTGCCAGGTATTAAGTAGGAACTGTTAGGGACAGAACTGTTGATTTCCAATTTTTCTTCCTGTCCTTAAATTTCACCTTCATCACTGGCTCCAATTCCATTTAATGTAGGAATTCAAAGATCCTGTCAATCTGTTTTTTACTGATAAAGGAACTGTGGGTTCCTTGGTGCTCTCTGAGCTTGGTTGTTTTCTTGCAGATGCTTCGTTACCCAAACTAAGTAAACACATCAGTACTACCATAGTAGGACCCCTCAAGCTGTTTTTTTTTTAATAAGCCACTTTAGGGCTTAAAGTATAAAGTAAATGTGGTTTTTTTTGTTTCTATTCTTATATAGCTTCCTTAAATAGCCTAAGTACATAAACATTATAATTTTGTTTTGGGGTGAATGACTTTAGTTTCTTCTCTGGATGGAGTAAATCAGAGCTAGCTGAGGAATTCTGGGAGCTGAAGTACACAAATCTTAAAGTTGCCAAGTTTGGAGACCCTGGAATAGATGAATTCTAGAATTCTAGAAATCTTTGCTGTCTTTCAATGCATCAACAGTACACAGGCAAGAGAGAAAAGGGAAGTTTGAGCTGAGGGCCTGGTCTGGCATCCCTCTCCTTCACAAGGACAGCTTACCTGCAGAGGTGCAACTGAAGGCGGATTGGGCAAGCTGAAAGAAAGACAGCCCAAGAATCGACTTGAAGTCCAACTGGCCTGTGAAGACGAGGCCTTGAGTAGCATCCTTAAAAAGCAGGTCACTTCCCCCATATCTCAGCGATTCAAAGAGCTGAAAATGGCTGTTCTTGATTGATTCCTGAAAGGAAAGAGGCCAAACTGGAGAGCTGCCAGCAAAGCCTGTTGATGGGGGGAGGAGAAGAGGCGAACAGGTGGACTGCAGCTGATGGCTGTCATTCTTCTGCTTGCTTAGCATTTGCCTCTTTTGCCAGCCTGACATCGGCAATGACAGGAGGGGGAGAGATTGGAAGGTGGGGCGGCTGGGGGGTGGGGGGGTTTGAAGCAGAGCCAGCCCTGACTGTGATAACCTCAATCCAGCACAAGGTCAGCAAAAGGAATGTGGAGATGGGAAAGACTGAATGCAGGTCCGTTTCCAAAACAACCTGAGAACTTTTAATTGGACCTTGACCGATAGCAGGCCAGGAAACAAGGGGACGTTCATTGCATCATTTTTGGGCCAAGCCGACAGATTCCGCCCTGAAAAAAGTGAATTGTGATCTGTCTTCAAGGCTCCGAGGGCAGCGTCATCCCACAGTCCCACGGTTGGAATTTGGGCCCCTGGTCACCAACTTGCATTGATGGTTGCAGCCCCTGCAGTCCCACACCTGCAATCTGTCACCTTCCCAGCCAGCTTCCAACAAGCAACAGGGGAAGCCAGAGTCACTCAATCACCATGGACTCACTTAACGGCAACATGATTTGCTTCATGGTGATTCACTTAATGACCGAGGTAAAAATCAGGTCCTGTCATGTGGTGACTCGCTTAACAACCATAACGCCTAGTATCTGAAATTCCAGTTCCAACTGTGGTCAAGACACGACTATTTTCCTTTTCTTCTTTGTTTGCAGCTGAGGTGCCCAGTTAGAGTCCTTCAAAATGTTTATTAAAACAGTGACATCCATAAGACCAAACATTCGCTCTGCTTGGAAATGCATGTGGGGAGAATGAAAAGAAGCCTCTGGCTAACATAACTGGAGTGCCAAGGAGCGCTACCTCCGGCCTCTCTCCAGGTGCCATCCCTGGAAAAGAGCCTCTGGAGAGGGGCAACTCTAGCCTGGTCAGGAGAGAAGGGCTGAGACGAGAAAGCCTGGAAATGGGCTCAGCTCGCATCAAGACCTCCACCTCATTGGAAGCGGACTTTCTGGCTCCCCTCCAGTCCGTCGCTGCAGCCAAGAAGGGACCCCAAAGACTGGCTGCTTCTGCCCCCTTCAGATGATACACTTTAGAATAGAATACAACAGAGCTGGAAGGGACCTTGGAGGTCTTCTAGTCCAGCCTTTTGCTCAAGCAGGAGAACCTACACCATTCCAGACAAGTGACTGTCCAGTCTCCTTAAAAACCTCCAGTGATGGAGCGCCCAGGATTTCTGGAGGCAAGCTGTTCCACTGGTTAATTGTCCTCACTGTCAGGAAGTTTTTCCTTAATTCCAGGTTGCTTCTCTCTTTAGTCAGTTTCCAACCATTGTTTCTTGTTCTGCCCTCTGGTGCTCTGGAGAATAGTTTGACGCCCACTTGATGGAAATAAAAGTGCAGGAAGACGAACGGACCTGCAGGCAGACATTGTCCCCTATGCCTAGCTTCCTGTTCTGACAAATAATAATCCTGACATGCCTTCAGTCAGCTGTCAAGCTTACCTGGGACTTTGCCAGGAAGTCATGGACCTTAGTGACAGTAACTGGCCGGGTCACCACAACGCTGGGAGGAACACAGCCCAGGTTGCAGGTCCTCCAAGCTGTTATGGCTGCTCGGCTCCCGTCTGGGCAAAGGAGTTCAAAATCCCTGAGAGCGTAGCCGGTGGCCCATCCTGAGCTATTCAGGTCTGCAAGGAACAAAGTAACCGACTTGAACTATTTAGCATCACAACGTTTTCTGCAAATCTCACCAAATAAGGATATGATCATTGCTGATTTTCTGAGCGCTGAACTTGAAGGGCCGAGGACAGAAAGGGGTCCTAGCCCAAAACCAATGGAGGTTTGAAAAGCAGGTGTGAAAAAAAAGCAGAAACGGTGAATCCAGGAGGACTCTCAAACTGCAGACCAGCTCCATGGAGGGAAATGCCATCCAGAGTTAAAGGCAGATTCTCTCTGGACTCTGTCAGTTTCTGAGTCGGCAGCTACTCTTGGCAGGATTCATTCTAAGCCGACGTCTCCCCATCTAGCTGGATATTTGCTGGCTTTGTGCTTGTTGATTTACAAGTGCTGCATCTTCTTGCTGGGACCATCCCTGGTGTTGTTACTGGCTATATGTCCAGGGGCCCCACAGTAAAAGCCCAGCCCAGATCTCTTAGTAGGGTTCTCCCCTACTGGGTTATAATTAGCTCATTGGGAAAGGTGAGGTGGGAGAAGGCAGGCTGTAGCTTCTCCCCTGCCTCAATTCTTCCAGTTGGGCATCTATAATTTAAAATGTTGATAGAGCTGATTGGGGAATTCTGGGAAGTGAAGTTCACAAATCCTAAAGTTGCCAAGGTTTGACAATAACATCTGGAGGAAATTTAACCTGAAAATTATCATGTGGCAATTTACCAAAATCTGAAAAGATAATACAAAATATCTTACAGTCAATGTTCTGAAGTAGGTTATAATGTTCCAAGAGAGCCACATCACCGAAGCTTCTTCCAGCGGGATCACCCAAGAGGCATCTGGAAGATAAAGGAAGAGTGAGCCCGAGCAGCAATTTTATTATAGCTTTTAGCCAATTAAAAAGAATTTAGTCTGAAACTCCTGCCTTCCAGTCCAGCCTTATATCGAGATTATTGTGACCGAGATTTGACTTAAGTCCTTTGAAGCTGCTGGAACCCTGCAACCCGGAGGCTGCGGCTTCACTTTCCGTAGATTTAAGAGTTAAAGAGGCTTTAACGGAATGGAAAAGACAAGGAGAGGAGCAGGTGATAGAGTTAGGAAAAATAAAAAATATTAGCCAAAAGAAACCAAAGGCCTGAAATAAAGAAATAACAGGATATACCACTGCAGGTAGTCCTCAACGTACGACCAAATTTTTGTTGTTAAGCAAGATATTTATTAAATGAATTTTGCCCCATTTTACGACCTTTCTTTCTACAGTTTTTAAGTTAGTAACATGGTTGTTAAGTGAATCTGGCTTCGCCACTGGCTTTGCTTGTCAAAAGATCACAAAGGGAAATCACATGACCCCCCCCCCGCATGCTGCGACCGTCATAAATGTGAGTCAGTTGCCAAGCATCTGAATTTTGATCACGTGACCACAGGGATGCTGCAATCATCATAAGTATGAAAGATGATCATAAGTCACTTTTTTCAATGCCATTGTAACTTTGAATGGTCACTAAATGAACTGTTGTTCATCCAACTGTTGTTGGATCTTGGAGGTCTTCTCGCTCCAAGCTTGCTTTCCAGCAGAAGATCCTACACTATTTTGGACAAGTGTCTGTCCAGTCTCTTCTTAAAAGCCTCCAGTGATGGAGCACACACAACTTCTGGAGGCAACTTCTGTTCCACTGGTTAATTGTCCTCACTGTCAGGAAGTTTCTCCTTAATTCCAGATTGCTTCTCTCCTTGATTAGTTTCCATCCATTGTTTCTTGTCCTGCCTTCAAGGGTTTTGGAGGAATAGGGTGACCCTCTTCTTCTTTGTGGCAGCCTCTCAAATACTGGAATACTGCTATCTTCCATCATCGTCATCATGGCACTGAATATCCATCACCATTCTCTATATCTACCACATTTATAAACTATTTTTGCCTTGAAACTTCTCATCTCTCTCTTCTGGAGGATCTCATCAACTCCATCCAATCACAACTTTTTCATCCTTTCCTTCCGTTCAACCCTTAATAAGGTAATTGTAGGTAATTGCTTTGCTTTTGGTTGTCATTCCTTCTCTCTATATGACCAAATTACCTCAAATGTATTTCTTTCCTATTAAACCTACGTCTCGATTAAGTCCACTATCAGGTATGATTCTATTTTAACCCACTTACTTCCTGAATATCCCCCTTCACCTCCTTCCATTGGTGTTTCTTCTGATATATCCAACTCTTATTTCAAGATAAGAAAATGAGCAGAAGCACACTCTCTCTCTCTCTCACACACACACATATTTATTTTGACATTCATTTGTTGCATTATTTAAAATTAGTAGTATTTGTACAATTTAAAATTTTTCCATCCATTTCCCCATCTTCCCCAAGGTACCTAACTTCATCTACTTGCTCTAGATTTTCACAATTTATGTATAATTATGTATACAGTACTTCCTTTGTATAGAACTGCCTTGGTCTTTGATTTATTCATTTTCAGATCAATTCACAGCATCAGGGAATCTAAAATTCGCTGTAAATAATTTGGGTTTTCACCAAAAAGGCAGCATTCTCTGCATACTAGAGTAGCTGGAAATTTACATCCCCGATCAACTTATTTCCAGTATCACTGCAGGGACTCTCCATGCAATTGTCCATAAATACATTAAATAACTATGAAGATATCATACATCCTTCTTACTTTAGTTTCTAAGGATTCCATTTATTCATGTACATTATTTATTTCCATCATATATTACTCTTCCTGCATCCAGCAGCCAACTTCCAGCTCTGTATCTTTTGATTAGCATCAGAAGTTCCAAAAATATGTTGAAATTCACTGTTTATTGGTCACATGATTTTAACCTAATTTAGAGGGAGCAAATATGATCAGCTTTCTCTGTCAGCCCTTCTTCCTTTTTCTTATACATGTGTGTGTGAGAAAGATATAACAGTCAGCTTGTGCCTACATATGGTGCACGCTCTCTCTCTCTCTGTTCGTGTGTGTGTGTCTTTAAGTCAGTGTTGACTCTTGGCAAGGGTCTAGGACAAATCGCCATGGCCAGCTCGCCATGGGACAGAACAGAATAACAGAGTTGGAAGGAACCTTGGAGGTCTTCTAGTCCAACCTGCTCAGGCAGGAAACCCTATACCATTTCTAACAAATGGGTGTCCAATCTCTTCTTAAAAACTTCCAGTGTTGGAGTATTCACAACAACTGAAGGCAAGTTGTTCTACCAATTAATTGTTCTGTCAGGACATTTTTCCTTAGTTGTAGGTTGCTTCTCTCTTTGGTTAGTTTCCATCCTTGTCCTGCCTTCAGGTGCTTTGGAGAATAGGTTGACCCCCTCTTCTTTCTGGCAGCCCCTCAGATATTGGAACAGTGCCATCATGTCACCCCTCGTTCTTCATTAAATTAGACATACCTAATTCCAGCAATCATTCTTTATATGTTTTAGCCTCTAATCCCCTGGTCATCTTTGTTACATTTCTCTGCACTCTCCTTAGAGTCTCAACATCTTTTTTACATCGCGGTGACCAAAACTGGATGCAGTAGTATTCCAAGTATGGCCTTACCAAGGCATTATAAAGTGACATTAACACTTCACGTGATCTTGATTCTATCCCTCTGTTAATGCAGCCTAGGACTGCGTTAGCTTTTTTGGCAGCTGCAGCACATGGCTGGCTCATATTTAAGATCCCTCTCACGGTTACTACCTATACTGTACCTGTGCATTTGGTCTTTCTTGCCTAAATGTAGAACAAAATGTAGGACAATTTGCCATGGGACAATTCAACATTGTATTAATTGCTTCATTCAGTTACTTTTATTACTGATGACCACGTTTTCATCAAAATTATTTGTAACTCTTGTATTTCTGAATTGACTTTATTTATTTTATTATTATTGGCCACGGTTCCATTTAAATTAATTTAACTTTTTTATTTGTTAAATTGTCCTGCAGCGATTTGGCCATCGCGGGTTGTCCCATTCGGCTTGGCAATTTCCTGGACTAATCCCTGCAAATTTCTCAGCGAGATTTTTGGAAGTGGTTTTCCCTTGCCTTCCCAGGGCTGAGAGACAGGGAATGTCCCAAGAATTCACAGTCTCCTGGTTCCTAGGCTGGTACTTTAAATCACTATGCCAAAGTGCCTCTCCTTGTGCTTATATACAAAGGAATTTTGAAAACCCCAGACAAAATCACAAGTCCCAAAGTCAGGAGACCCCCTAGCCCTTAAGGCATGGCTTTGTAGTAGCATTTTACTAAGAAGTGAAACTTTTTCTCCAGGGTGACTCACCTGAGGGCCCCCAGATTGCCATAGTACCGTTCATGATGATTAGCTGCACACCTGGAAGACCCCTTGCCTCTCCCCTCTTGTCCAATGCACACTTTGCACAGATTTCCACTGGCTCCTGGCATGCAGCCTTTCCAAAAAAAATTCTGGTATGCTTTGAGAAGGAGAAAGGGCAGCGGTTACTCAGCGGAATTATGCGACTGGTTTTTCATTTACTGCACTCACTGCACATAGACAAACCAGCCAGCCAATGTGGGTAGCACTGCCAAGTAAAAAAAATGGTTTCTTGGAATATTGGTAAAGGGGCCTTTCTCCAGTGTTCTGGTTACAGTGCAAAATCAGGGAGGGGTGGGAGGCAGTGTACAGAAAAGCATCATTGCTACTATTTGGGTAAGTACTCAGTGCCCCTCGGTTTGCAGGAGCATAACCTCTGCCGAGCAGCAGCTGGAGAACAAGAGTGAAGGAACAGGTGCTGCCTCCTTGAGCTCCTATTGTGCCTATTGTGGTTCGTGAACCCTTCTACCCCCATCCTGACACCTTCAAAATATCTTATTCCTACCCAAAAGGAAGAGCAGCCCAGGTCTCTTCGTGAACCAAGCTCTTCACTAGGCAGACGGGAGTGCTTACCAGAGGTGAGGTTGCAGCTGCAGCTGCCATTTTCCGGGGCCCCGACGGTGTACTGTGAAAGCAGCAGCCACCCTCCTGGGCTGTACACGTGGCTGTGGCAGGAGCGCTTTCCCCTCAGGGTGTACCGGTTTACTTGATGGTTAGCCTTTCTCACCAGGGCGACGGTATAGACTGGAGGAAGACCTGCATTGCGAGAACACACCGTTACCATGAGGCAATAGAATAGAATAGAATAGAATAGAATAGAATAGAATAGAATAGAATAGAATAGAATAGAACACAACAGCACAGCACAGCACAGCACAGAACAGAATAAGAAGTTGGAAGGGAACTTGGAGGTCTTCAAGTCCAACCTCCTGCTCAAGTAGGGGACTCTATACTATTTCAGACAAATGGTTGTCCAGTCTCTTTTTGAAAAACTCTAGTGATGGAACACCCACAACTTCTGGAGACAAGCCATTCCACTGATTATTGTTCGAACCATCAGGAAATTTCTCCTTAGTTCTAGGTCAGATGTCTTTTTCTTCCGTTTCATCTGTTACTTCTTTTTCTGCCTTCTGGTGCTTTGGAGAATAGGTTGACCCCCCTCGTCTTTGTGGCAGCCCCTGAGATATTGGAACACTGCTATCATGTCACCTCTAATCCTTTTCTTTGTTAGGCTCAGTGCTTTTTTTCTAAAAAAAAAAAAAAAAAAAAGGTGCCAGAACTCATGTCATACAACCCACCTTGCCTACCCTACAAGGTTCCATCCAAAAAAGGTGCTGGAACTCCGTTCTGGGCGTTCTATGAGAAAAAAAGCCCTGGTTAGGCTACTCCTATCTAGTTCCCTTACCCATTCATCAAACAGTTTAGCCTCCAGCCCCCTAATCATCTTTGTTGCTCTTCTCTGCATTCTTCAAGATCTTTTTTATATTGTGACCACCAAAACTGGATGCAGGATTCCCAGTGTGGTCTGACCAAGGCAGAATAAAGCAGTACTAACACTGGAACTGGAGAACACGGAAACTTTGCCATGGCAAGCAAGAGCTTTATTCAACTTCCCAATTACTTGGATTCAACTCCCAAAATTCCCAGGCAAAGTGCTAGAAGCTGAAGTCCCACATATCTGGAGGAAACTAGATTGTTTTTTAAGGAGGCACAGTCCGTTTCTGGAGAGAGTGAGGAAGGGAGATATGAAAGATCTGTTACCAAAGCAAAGAGGGGTGAAACCTATGAAGTCAACAGCAGACAGAAAAAATATTGAGAAAAGCTAGGACAGACCTCCTCCCTAATTTCCCCATCAGGCTCAAAGAACCAAGATTGACAAGTGGCGTGACTTCTGAGTAATTTAGTTTTATTATTGTTTGCCTACAGACAGAATTGTGCCAACCTAAACCAATTATCAGTTTAATGGCTCGGAAGGATCCGTCCTTACTCTCTTCCTATCTACCAGACATTCCAAGCTTCGGGATCTCTTTGCCCCGTGTTCCATATTCCTGACCATATTCAACAGCAGAGTATTAAAGGAGGACGAGGTATGGTACAATCATGCTTGCAGGATTCTATTATTAGGGCCACTCTCAATAAAAATAGACTTAATCTTCTTGAGGAGTTGATTCTCTGCTTGGTCTGTCTGGTGTGGCTATTTTACATCTCCCCAGCACTTGCCTGCTTTTACGGAAGGGATAGAGGGGCTATTCACCTATTACTTGAGAACAGCCATAGTTTTGTAACTCTAGAAAATGCTTTCGGTTGCTTTGACCGCCAATGTCGCACAGGGCAGCTGCAGAAGAGGGCAGAGAAATTCTGTGTGACCTGTCTCTCAAAAAGAACTGCACTACTTTTCCATCTATCACATTTACTCTGTTTATTTTATGTCATTCAAGGAACATTAATTTTCAGCACAAATGAAAAAAGCATAAAGAAAACATACCTTTCAAGCAGTTAAAAGCAATCCTTAAAAAAACTTCTGATCTTTCAGAAAATTTTGAGATGTTCCCCGTTTACCTGGAACTACGGTGCTAGAGTCCTGCTTCCCAGAAACACCCTTGTCTCTGGGTCCTTGACCCAGAATGTGTGCTCAGACGGGAGAGGAGGTTCCACCGGAGTACAGTCCGATAGTACCACCGAATTTATTTGGTGATAACTCGTCTCTCGTCTGAAAGACCTGCTGGCCAGTAAGTGCCATTTTCCTTAATTCCCAAATATGTTAATCAGCCTACTACAGCAAGAGAGCATTAGAGCAGGGCAAACCATGTGCCAAAGCAATGCTGGAGGAACAGTACAGCACCCACGGCACTTCCTCTGTTGGTGCTCACTCCCACTTACCCCCAACGTGGGCCAACGTCTCCGGTTCCACCCTTGTGGGAGCACATCCTTCTCCTGCGCAGACGAGACAGAAGGCTGAAGAGCTGCTCTCCAGGGCTCACCAGACAAAAGCAGTGGGCTAAAAAACTGACAACGCCACAAGTTTGCTCTCAGGCAGCAAATGGCCTTCTCCCTCACATATGAGAGCCGCACAATGACTGGACTGGGATCTTCTGGCCCAGGATTTGAGCAATCTGGCCTCTCTCTCCTTCAGAAGCACAAGGCAACTGAAGTAGCCTGTGACAGAACAGCGCTGCGTAGTTCAGTGGTTCTCAACCTTTTTAATGCTGCGACCCCAACCGGTCGTAAGTCGAGGACTAAACCGGTCGTAAGTCAAGGACTAAACCAGTCGTAAGTCAAGGACTACCCAACTGGTTGTAAGCCGAGGACTTTCCCTGCCCGGGAGCACCGTGCATGCGCGGTTCCGCCCCCTGCGCCGGCCGAGGCGTAGCTGGCAAGCGGCAGAGACGGAGCAGGCCGACCACCAGCTGGCCCAGCCCAAGGGAGGTAAGGCACCCGCCAGAAAAGGGGGAAAAAATGGCGGACAAAACAAATGGCGGACAAAAAAAATGGCGGACAGCCTTGCTTGGCGACCCCCGTGAAATGGTCGATCGACCCCAAATGGGGTCCCGACCCACAGGTTGAGAACCGCTGGCGTAGTTGCTTTGTGTTACAATTCTCATCCTCTCCAGCCAGTCTTCCCTTGCAGGCCTCGTCTTTTTAGTTTGTAAGCATAAGGGCAACCCCCCCCTCCAGATCTTAAACTGACATCATCTTTCCAACTGATGCTTTGAAAGACTAAACATTTTGCACGTCATCCAGACTGTTGCTCCTCAAGAGCCATTTTGGTCAGAAAACCAGCACTTCCCCAGATGCTCCAATGGGCTTTTCCCCATCTCTAAGGGCATGCCTGGTGTTCCATTTTTCTGTTTATGATTTTAATGAAAATCAGATCTTACCATAACACTCTGCCGCAACAGGGGCGAGCGTGCAGATCTCCGCAAAGTACGCGTGGGTGGCGTCCAGCGTGACAGCATCTGCCTCGTTTTTCTGTCAGGGGAAGAACCACCCGGTCAGCCGCGAGAGGCCTGCTCTTTTCAGAGGAAAAACTGCTCTTGCCAGGTGTGATGCTCTGGCTGGGACCACAGCCTTGGCCAGCCAGATTGGAGTAAGGAAATAACGGATCTCAGAAAGTGAAATGGGAACCCAAACTTCTTAGAATGTCATGTCATTTCTTGGGCAGGATTTGTATATTTTAAGGCATGGTTTATTTAAGCATGGTTTATTTAAATAAACCAGAATTGGCTGGGTTCACAAGCCATAATTGTTGGACTAATGTTATGCTATGCCTCAAGCAAATCACCCAACAGCTTAGCGCAGAGGGCCATGTTCAGTGGTGGGATTCAGCTGGTTTGTACCACTTCGGCAGAACCGGTAGCTAATTTTTTGTTGCCCAGGCCCAGAATGGACTTCCGGAAGCGGCATCCACACAGAGAACCGGTTGTTCACCTATTTGAATCCCACTGCTGGCCATGTTCCCCAAGGACCACTCTTTTTTTTGGCTCGCTGAGCTTCCCAAATATGATCATTGAATAAGTAAGCTGTTTTCCGCCATTTTGATGTGGAAGGTTCAAGTAAATTATTGTGTGAGCCATAAAATAAGTGTATCAAGTGAAAAACGAAGAGGACCTCCAACTTCACTCTTCCCAAACCAGCTCTGCACTTGTGGCCGATGCAGTTCCACTCAGTCAGTTCCCTGCTGACTTAGTGCCATGCATGAGTCAAAGGTTTCAGCTCCTTCCTGCTGCTCCGAAGTCTCTGCCTGCCTCTGCACGAGGGGCTGCTTGCCTAGTGAGACCAGGTTTCTGTTTCTAAAATGCCCAGGACTGAAAGCTACGTAGCAAGGTGAGCGGGGGCTTATCTTCCCTCCCATCGCTTAAAACCCACAATTCATTGCATGCCTGGATCAACTAATCCTAGCAGGATCCCGTGAGCCAGTCTCTCTGGCAGAGAGGTGGGCTCAGAGTTCCAATCCTATGTATAGACACCTAGTCCGAGTCCAGAGGTACCCCTCACACCCCTCCTCCGTGCAATTTTGATAAAAGCCCTACATGCCTTGGGACCAGGTTATTTTCCCAGTCATATCTGCCCAACCCTCTGGAGCGGGGAGGCAGGGAATGTTGGGGGTCCCCTCTCCCTCCCCCTTTCCATTTAGGAGGACCCAAAAGAAGGCCCTTGTCTACGGTGGCTCCCTTCCTGTTGAACATCATCCCTGCAGACAGGATTGGGCCCCGATCTGACACTCTTTTGCAAGGCCCTGAAGGTGTGCTACTGGCAGTGGGCCTGGAGACCCCAGGATGATACGGAGACCATCAAGTGGTTCATCTGATTATTGTCACCAGGGAGTGGTGGGGTTATTGCTTTTTTGTACTGGGGTTTTATTCTTTGTAAGCTGCCCAGAGTCACTGAGAGTGGGTTGGGCCGCCATATAAATTTTCTTAAATAAATATACCCCCCCCCAAAAAAAAAAATGGGGAGAAAAGCCAAATTAGGCCATAGCTCTGTTGGGGAAAGGCTTGGCTCTCTCCCTCCTACCTCCGTTTTAACCCATTTTTCCACAGGAAATAGTGCCTTTGAAGAAACCACTCACCTTGATGAGCTCAATGCAGCTGATCATGGAGTCTGCCTGGACACAGACCAGGGGGTCAGACCTGGCATTCAGAGCCCACTCCTCACATTTACGGAGCTCCAGGTCACTGATACAGCACCAGCGCACCAGGCTGTTGGACAGAGAGCTCCCTGGGGCAGCAGGAGAATGACAGTCAGAGGTGAGAGGAGAAGCTGCCTGGCCCAGACGCTGGGTGCTAGAGAATGCGCGTTCCCTCACCTTCATGTCCCAAACCCTGCAGGAGGGCGACATAGTCGAGGCCAAGAACCTGGGTGATCTCGGTCTCTTCTGCCAGCAGCCGCAGGTGCTGAGTGGCATCGTGGAACAGCAGGTCCCTCCCTCTGAACGGTGCAGACGCAAAGAGCTCAAACCTGCCTTTTTCTTTTCCGCCCTTTCCAAACAGGTCCTGGGAACCAAAGCCAGTGATCACAAGTCCTTGGACCCAGGCAGCAAGCAGGCCCTACCCAGGGCAGGGGATGGGGATGCATCTGCCAAGAGCCACACCACCCACAAGCTCCCACAACCTCCACACAGGTCAAATGGAGGCGCTCACCTGATCGCCGAAACTAGCAGCAGGAAGACGAAAAGGGGGTTTAATTTAACTGGAACAGGTTTCTGGGGCAGAATCGTCCTCAGATAGGACATATGCCCAACCACCCTCCTGATGCCCTCAAAACTATGTTTTTTTTCCCTGGCTACATTGCCACCTGGTTCTGGGCAACTGGGATTTCTGTGTGCTCCTCAGTACTATGTATTTCAAAAATCTTCTTCCAGGAGGTTGGCTCTGGGGATGCGTGTGGGCAGGCAGACTTGAAAACATCCCCACAGCAACTGGATCCTGCCACTGCCAGGCTACCAGTCACCAACATTTACACCTTCTCTTTTCCTGCCAGTAGGAGAGTACACCGCAAATTTTGTGTGACATTCTTGGGGAACTGCCTCAGAGCACCATCACAACACATCACTTGCAGAAGAAGCTCCAGTGATGACATCGTTTCCAGTTATAATAACAGGCTAGCTAAATTAGGCCCAGGCAAACAAGTGTCTACATTTATGTCCAGTTTGCTAAAAATGGAAGGACACATGCCTTGTTTGGCTTAATTTATTTTAAGCCAACATTTCTGGCTAAGAATCTTCTAAAATAAAACTAAGTTGTAACATATTTCTCCTTCTACCCAGCTATGAGGTAGCGAGGAAGAATCCTTGAGTCCACATGCTCTCTGCAGGCTCCTTTCTCCTCAGTTATTTGTTATTTGTTAAATTTATTTCCTGTCTATCTCTCCGTGGGGCTACTTTTGCCGACTTACAACAGTAAAAATAAAGAAATGACAAGAAGTGTAAACTAAACAGTAGCAAAATATTGAAACAGCAAAATAAACAATGAAATAAACAATGAAAATGCAATAATGAGATTAAAAGATGACTGGGGAAGAGAAGCAGGGAATGTGGGGGGTGGGGGTGGAGTTTGCTATCGATCTAGTAGCCACCCCCGTTCTTAATTCTGAATCATGGCTTAACATCTTATATCAATCACAGCACGTTTTGCCTCCCTTGGAGCCTTATTTTTTCCTCCTTAACAGTCACATCCTCCCAAATGCCTTTCGGCTGACGTGCCTTTCCCCAGGGGGCAGTGAGGCTGCTCAGAGACATCTGAGATCGCAACAGGAGAAGCACCTACAAAGTTTGCCAGTGGGTGTGATTGAGGAAGAGGGACTCAACCACCCTGAGATTTCCTGTAAAATCTCGCAATGGGGAAAATTATTATTTTGGGAGCCAGAGCAATCGGTGTCAAAGAGTCACTTCCATCAGCTAAGCAACAGGAAATAAATCTGGATCAAACGCTTGGAGGGGGGAATGATGTAAACCAGTCTTTCAACTTTAGCAACTTGAAGATACCTGGACTTCAATGTCCAGAATTCCCAGCTGGTGTGTGTTACCTGAAGTCCGTGGTCGGGGTTTAGTCGAGGGATGGACTCTTAGTCTTAGACGTGGATAAACGGTCCTTTATGGACTTACTGGAACTCTTTAAAGAATTGATAGAAGACGTTCAACGCCGCACACTGTTATCGCGCCGGACCAGGCAACGGGTCCAACGTCCATCTCATCCGGCAGTTTCCGCGTCGCCTAGGTAGCGGACAGAGCAGCTCGTACTCTTCCCGTTCCAACTCTTTGGAAGAGGAAAAAGAGAGCTTCACAAGCTGAAAGCAGAGCCCACAGAGCAGAAGACCCCCCCCCTCCCCATCTCCGCCTCACCACAGGACAGAAGGACTGCAGCTTACTCAGCTATTAAGAGGGCAAAACAACTGGCCTGGTCCTGGGTGCGGGGAGGAGAAAGACAATGAGTTCTGGGGTCCTTGGCATGGTTTCCTGACCAGTCTTCTTATCAAGAGTGATAAGAAGGGAGATTTAGGTTGAAGATGAAAGATCAACATATTACCATGAAGAGTACAGCTCTTGGAAGGAAGGATTAGCAAATGACTCACAAGGAGTAGAGAGGCAGTTGATCAAGGCATATCTTTCTTTCTTTCTCAATGGATTATGCTCAGACTATACATAAACCAAAAAGCGCTATATCTTGCAAAGAAAATCAAATCAGGATAGGTTGCCACAACCTCTTGTCACTAATGCTGCGGGTCCTGTCAGCCCGATTAGTCCGGCCGGCAGGGTCCAGGAGGAGGGTCTTCTCTGCTGTGGCTCCTGCCCTCAGGGACAGGTGAGGTTGGCCCCAACCCTCCTATCGTGCCATAAGGACCTAAAGACGTGGCTCTGCCAGTCGGCTTGGGGCCCCAGTGGGGGATCAGCACAATGGAGGTGGTTGACTGAGTAACAACAGATCCCACCTCCCTCCCCCCACGCCTCCCCAGGTGTCCTGGGTTTTAACATCTTTTTATGTTTTAACTGCATAGGTAACTGTAAGCCACCCAGAGTTACCCTTTGGTAAGATGGGTGGGCAATAAATTTTATAAATAAACAAACAATGCAACAGAAGAGGATAAAGTTTGATCTCAACAGTGGAGGGTCCCTTTTAATCAACTGCAAAAGTCAGACAATGTCCTGGGCCAAGTGTTTACCTGTAGCACTTATGACTGTGAGGTGATCCACAAACGCCACATCCGCCAGCCCCAACGTCAGGCACCTGCACAGGTGAGAGGGAGGTCAGCTGACGAGCTCCTCCGCCTCGCTTCTAAGTCCATTAGGATGAAGCCCCAGGAGGAACACGAGACCACCTGAAGGCACCCTCCGAGCCGTAGAAGGGTTCGCGACGGCTAGCCTCGCAGAAGTGGTTCTTGTCCCAGATGTACGACTTCGGCCCTTGGCAGAGAGCGCAGAGCTTAGGATAGGTAGCTCCGATGCCAGGGATGCAGCTGGCATTGAAATAACCACTGATTGCTGGCAACAGAAGAAGAGCGGAATGAAAAGCAGATACGCATGAGGGGCACGTCTAGTACAGGGAGCGTATGTTTTCACGGAAGGCAGCCCGAACTACTGGGATTTGTGGACTTATTTCAACAAAGTGTACCTGAGGCTGCGTCTTAAGGACCACTTTACATAAACAATTTATCCAGAGTTGTCTGGCTTACTCATGAGGCACACAACACACTGTGGTGCAATCCATCTTCTCTAAATAGCCCATCTGTCAGGCTTCAGAACCCATTCTGAGTTACTTCAAAGCTGTTTCCTTTATTGTTCTTCACCTACAGACAGAAATTTTGCCAAATTAAAGCAAACTACTTGTATCATTTAAACTATACACAAGAATGGCCATTTTATTTGTTTTAATTGTTGCATAGTCTCTCATCTTCGTTAGCCATCCAGAATTATGTATGACTCTGCTGTAGAAACTGAAATTATGAATAAATGAAAAAATTATCTGAGCCCTAAGATGGAGCGTTCACTTTGTAAGGGCCTTCCAGTCCAAACAGGCCGATATCTAATGCAGAGGCCCCCAACCTTTTGGGCACCAGGGACCGGTTCCGTGGAGAAAGGTTTTTTTGCGGACCGGAGGGGGCCTGGTTTTGTGTGTTGCCTGCATCTCGCGGATGGGGCTTTGCTTGTTTGTGCAGACCAATTGCTGGCCTGCCGCGGCCCAGTACTGGTCCACGGACCAGGGGTTGGGGACCCCTGATCTAATGTAATGATCTAAGAAAGGTAAAGGCAGGAGTCCCGGAGAACCCTCAAATCACAGACTTGCTGCTTTGGGGAGTGCAATCTTATCTAGACCTGAAGTTGAACCAGATTGGTTATCTAGAACAGCATCTCCATTTTGCTGGGATTCAGTGTGAGGCTGTTTTATCCAATCTCAGCCTTCCAGATACCTAAAAAGGACCCCCACAGCCTCTCTGCCCGGGACAGCAGCACACAACATATATGGCTTCCTCACCTCAGATTGACAAGTGTTTCCTGTAAATGTAGAGCTAAATCAATACAGGGAATCCCTGACTTACAAGAGTTCACTTAGTGACCTTTTGAAGTTACAACACGACTGAAAAAAGCGACCCATGAGTGTTTGTCACACTTACAACCGTTGCAGCATCTCCATGGTCATGTGATCAAAATTTGGACACTTGGCAACCGGTTCATATTTATGATGGTGGCCGTGTCACGTGATCCTCCTTTTGCGACCTTCAGACAAGCAAAGTCTATGGGGAAGCCAGATTCACTTAACAACCCTGTTACTAACTTAACAACTACAGTGGTTCACTTAACAACCGTGGCAAGAAAGGTCATAAAATGGGGCAAAAAATACTTAATAACTGTTTTGCTTAGCAACATAAATTTGGGGCTCAATTGTGGCCGTAAGTAGAGGACTACCTGTAGCACCCCACACTGGAGAAGACATGTACTCCCCCATGAATATCAACTAGAACTACCCACCTAGGAGAAAGTAGAGCCACTCTATATTTCCCTTCCTTCTAGCCCTCGCAGGGGTCTAGCAAGAGAACAGAGTCAAACCTCACCAAGGGGTCTCGCAGGGCCAGGAGGGGGGCACCCCTCCAGGCTCTGAGGTAAGCCCCAGAATGGCCCAGGGGTGTCTCAGCCCTGAGCTAAGGCTGGAAATCTTACTAGAAGGGATCTAAATAATTCACTTTGGCAACTAATGCAACGTGATTTGTTTCTGAAATGTGAGCCCAATCGCTGCGGTTGCAGACGATCATATCTGGCAGTGGCACACAATGTTTCTTTACGCAGACTATCCTGTCATCACTGAAACCTTCCGAGAAATGCATCAGCCGAGAGCTGGTGACACGGCACCCAACTGTTTATAAAACATTACAGCTGAACAATACAGCTCAAGTCCCTCCAACTACTTATTCTAAAACATGTTAACATTTTTGTCCCAAATCTCACCAACTGTGAGATTTTGAGTATTTTATTTCTTTATTTTATTTTGGCATCTCACCACCAAATACTTTCATGCTGTTAGGGAATGATTGGTTTAAAGTATAGTGTATTGTGTGAACCCAGCCATAGTGTGAATGTCATGAACTGTGAGGCCTTCTTATGGCATTATGGAATGACCCAATATGTTCAGGCAATGGTCATTCACAATGGCCAGACACTATTACAATATGATATATGATATATATGATATATGATATATAATTCAACCATTGTCAGGAGTCCAGTATGGTATAATATCAAGCTCAAATATATTTGTTCCCATCTTATAGCTCACCATTCATCTATTAGAATCAAGTACCTATGGAGATATAATCCTAGATTATAACTCTTGTCCACTCACCTTGGCTGAGGGACTGGCCTGAGACCCACATCAGATCACTCCTAGCTAAGAGGAAGCCCATGGGAATGCTCCAGCCTGAAGTCCACCTAGCTCCATTATGGCAACTTCGGACTCCTTTGAGCCTTTGGAGATCCAGCATCCCACGCTTGGCCACAGCCACTGCAAATACACAGCTACCTAAGACAGAGAAAGTTAGAGTGGAAAAAACATTCACCTCTGGAGAACAAAACTGAATCTTTTGCATCAAACATGGTACTCCTGATTGACAAGGAGCCTAACCCAAAAGCATTTTGAAACATTGTGTTCTGCAGTATTTTATTTTCTTAGTTTAAATTCAATCCGAAAGAAGTTATTTCAAGTCATGTGATACCGGAGATGTATCTCCAGCAGAATGACTAATGCCAGGGCTTTTGTCCAATGAATTTTTTTGGTGAAAGTGTAAATAAAACAATAAATCTTGGCCTTACTGAAATAGTTCTTTACCTACAATGGATGGAAGGATCTAAATATACTGCTCCTCCTGTTAGCTTCAGAGGCCAAATGCTTTTAACACTCTTTCCTTATACAAGAGACTCTCTTTCCCAGTTCTTGAAAATAAAGCACTGGTAGCACTCTGCTCAATTGCTTTTCTTTGCATTTACAGAGACTCAAAGTCGACCTTCAAGAAGGCCAGTCCAATGGAACCTCTCTGGACAAGGAGAGGACAAGTGAGACCACATGACAGTAGTCAGCTCATGGATTTGAGTGGCAGGAGATGAGGGAAGCCATTATGCTCTCAACTGCAGCAGAGCATATGTGGGTAAGAGGTTCATCAAGCCTCATTTTCTAAGCACTTTTGGAATATAACTATTTTAAAGTTAAAAGAGGTCTTCCCAGCCACGAGTCTGAAAAACTATGTGGTGAGTGATCCTTTGTTCCAGAAAGCAGGGAAAAAATAATTAATAATTTAAGTAAATGGAAAAAAACTAAATAAGAATTTAATCCAAGAAAGTTTGAAGCAAACTAAGGGACCAAATAAATTTTAAATATTTGATTTAATATTTGAAATATGATAGAATAATAACTTTATTGTCACTTTGAATGTACACTAATCGGCATACATTAAAATGAAATTTCGTTGCATACAGCTCTCAAAGGGTCACCACCTCCAATATACACTACATTGATTATCTTTTCTAGGATCTTCCCAGGTATTGATGTTAGACTGATTGGTCTGTAGTTTCCTGGGTCTGTTCCCCCCACCCTTTCTTGAAGATGGGAACCACATCAGCCGTTTTCCAATCCTCTGGTTATTTCCCCCCCCCCTCCAGTATTTATGAAAGATGTGGTGCAATTAATGTAGTAAAATGAACAATTGCTAGAATAATGATGTAATGCATAATCACTGGGAAAATTCACTGGGAAAGTTCTGTGTCAGTAATATGTGACTAACCAAATGCACATTGCACATAGATACTTTGTATGTAGCAAAACCTACCATTGTATGCCCGTGAGAAACGATCCTAATGTATTACAATGTGTGTAGTCCTTTGTTCCTGAAAGAAGGATAGTATAAAACTGAAGACTAATCCCGCCCTCCTTGTTCAGAATTGCCTGTCTCCATTGTGCTTCTGAACCTGCGCAATAAACCTCTCTGCTA